ACAATCAATTCAATATCGAACCCAACAATTCTTCATCTTAATCAAACAACCAAACCCACAAAAAAAAAAAAAGAGAAATTTTTTTGCCCCTGATTCGAACGAACCCAGCTCTTGGGTTCTCGAAGGAACCCAGTGCCCAGATTCAAGAAGAGACCCAGCGCTTGGGTGCAAACGAAACCCAGGCGCCTGGATTCGAGAAGAAACCCAGTGCCTGGGTTCGATCGAACCCAGCACTGGGTTTGAAGGAACCTAGAGCTTGGGATCGTCGAACTCAGGCGATGGGTTCCTTCGAACCTAGCTGGGTTCGTTGAACCCAATGCATGGGTTCATCGAACCCAGGCGATCTGGGTCCGTTGAACCCAGGCCGAACCCAAATCGCCTGGGTTCGACGGACCCAGATGGTGCTAGGTTCGTCAGACCCAGCACCAGGTTCGTCGAACCCAGCCCTAGGTTCGACGAACCCAGGTCCAGGCGACGAACCCAAGCGAACCTAGCGCCTGGGTGGGTTTGAAGGAACCCAGGCCTGCTAGGTTTCGAGGGGAAGGAGGAAGAGAAAGGGGAAGGAGAAAGAGAAAGGGGAAGGGAAAGGGAAAGGAGAAAGAAAAAGGAAAAAAGAAAAAAAGAAAAAAGAAAAAAAAATTTAAGTTTTATTTTTCATAATATTTTTTTATATTATTTTTTTTCCACATCATCACTTTTTTTCCCACATCATCACTTTTTATATTACTATATGACATGTCATCTGGTAACCGTTAAGTAACAGGCCACGTCACACAATTTTTAACGGAAAGACCAAATCGGGGTAAAAATGGTAAACAGTAGGGACCAAATCAGAGATTTTTTTAGTTTAGGGACCAAATCGGGGGTCCGTACAATAGTTTAGGGACCAAAAAGGGGTTTTAACCTACGATTTATTATGAATAGTGATAGTTAACGCTTAAAAGACTTGTGTGATATGTGGGTTCAAAAGGGTCAAGCTTTTGCCCTTTTCCTTAGCAGATGAACTAAATATAATTGTCTATAAAAGCCCTTCACTTTCATGAATTTCTACTAGTTCAAAACCAACATATCCAAACAAACCATGGCTTCCTCCTCCACTCACTTCTTTCTTTCAAGGCATCTGGGTTGAATTGGTATGAGCAATCATGATCACCTTAACATTTAATAGTCAAGTTATTATAGGATTTATTATGAATAGTGATGGTTAACGCTTAAAAGAATTGTGTGATACGTGGGTTCAAAAGGGCCAAGCTTTTGCCCTTTTCCTTAGCAGATGAACTGAATATAATTGTCTATAAAAGCCCTTCACTTTAATGAATTTCTACAAGTTCAAAACCAACATATCCAAACAAACCATGGCTTCCTCCTCCACTCACTTCTTTCTTTCAAGGCATCTAGGTTGAATTGGTGTGAGCAATCATGGTCATCTTAACATTTAATAGTCAAGTTATTATAGGATTTATTATGAATAGTGATGGTTAATGCTTAAAAGACTTGTGTGATACGTGGGTTCAAAAGGGCCAAGCTTTTGCCCTTTTCCTTAGCAGATGAACTGAATATAATTGTCTATAAAAGCCCTTCACTTTCATGAATTTCTACAAGTTCAAAACCAACATATCCAAACAAACCATGGCTTCCTCCTCCACTCACTTCTTTCTTTCAAGCTTGGTTTTCTTGATGATCTCCTTCTTTCAACCATCCTCACATCAGCAACTGTGTCATAAGGATGAGTATCTTGCTCTAATGCAATTCAAAGATAGCTTTGTCATTGAAAGGCAAGCATCTACTCGTCCTAAAGTCGATCTTTGGAAATCTCAAGGGATTGATTGCTGCTCATGGGAGGGCATATGGTGTGACCAGAACACTTCTCATGTCATACACCTTGATCTCAGTAGCAGTTGTCTTTTTGGTTCTATCAATTCTAGCAGCAGCCTCTTCCGCCTTGGACACCTTCAATACCTCAACCTGGCACTCAACGACTTCAATTTCTCTAAGATACCATCTGCAATGGGCAATCTTTCGAGGTTAACTTATCTCAATCTCTCTGGTTCTTTCTTTTCTAGTCAAATTCCACATGAAATTTCAAAACTCTCCAATTTAGCTAAGCTTGACCTTTCTTTCCATCTTGATCAATCACATCAAGGATTGTTGGAACTCAAAAGGTCTGGTTTGAAAAACCTAGCTCAAAACTTAAGCAAGCTAGAATGGCTTGACCTCTCTTATGTTGGTATAAATTCTCCAATACCAAAGGCCTGGGCAAATATGTCATCATTGACACATCTACACTTCTGTCAATGTGGATTGCATGGAAAGTTTCCCATAGACATTTTTCAACTACCTAAACTTCAAGTCCTTGATTTGGAGAACAATTGGGAACTTAGTGGTAATTTTCCTGAATTTCACTCTCACAGTCAGCTTAGGGCACTCGATGTTGGAAACACAATCTTTTCCGGTGAGTTACCTAGCTCAATAGGAATGTTTAGTTCTTTGGAATATTTAGATGTCAGTAGTTGTAACCTCTCAGGTTGGGTACCACCTTCAATTGGTAATCTCACCAAGCTCCATGTATTGAACCTCCCAAATAATTCTTTCAAGGGAGAAAACGCTCCTTTCTTCTCAAACCTCACTCAACTAACTCAAATAAATCTTAGATTAAATCAATTCACTTTTAGTGAGGTCCCTTCTTCTTTGGCTACCTTGACCCATCTCATGAAAATAGACCTTTATTATAATCATATTTCTGGCCATTTTCCATCTTGGATTACAAACCTAACAAATTTAAGACAATTGCATCTCGGGTCTAATATGTTACAGGGATCTCTTCCAAGCTCAATTTCCAGACTCAAGAACCTTGAAACACTCTTTGTTTACTACAACAACTTAAGTGGTATTGTTGAGTTTGACACATTTCTTGAACTCAAATCCCTTAATTCATTGGCTTTATCCAATAATAATTTCTCATTAGTAATCAAAACCCCCACCAATAAAACAATTCCAAAGTTTAAAGTACTGAGTCTTGCTTCTTGTAATCTAAGAGAGTTTCCAAGCTTTTTGCTTAACCAGAGTGAATTGGATGTCCTCTGCCTCGCCTCCAACAACATCCATGGCCAGATACCTAGTTGGATATTGAATATGAGTGCAAGTTTGTTGGCTTTAGATCTTTCTTACAACAATTTCACAAGTTTTGAAGAATCCTTTCTTGTTTTTCCTTCTACTAGTCTTTTATTTCTAGACCTTAGTTTTAACTCTCTCAAAGGTTCTCTACCAATCCCACCACTCTCTATCCTTTTCTACTGGGTTTCCGGGAATATGTTTAGTGGAGAAATTCCACCTCAATTCTGCAACGTGACTTCTCTTCAACTGCTTGATTTGTCTCAAAATAATCTGAGCGGAACAATGCTGCAATGTTTTGGCAACCTCAGCTCCATGTTGGTTTTAAACTTGGAAGGAAACAACTTCCATGGTCCTATTCCTGAAACATGGGAAAGTGGAAACAAACTCAAAGAAATTAAAATGGGAAAGAATAATTTGCAGGGGAGGTTACCAAGATCACTAAGAAACTGCAAAGTGTTGGAGTTTCTTGATCTTGGAAACAACAAGATCGAAGATACTTTCCCTTACTGGTTGGGAGCTCTTCCTGAATTGAGGATTCTCATTTTGCATTCAAATAGGTTCCATGGCACAATTTCAATCAAAGTACCAGAGATAGATTTCTTGTTTCCTAAGCTCCGCATCATTGACCTTTCAAACAATGGATTTGTTGGCACTTTGCCAATAGACCTCTTTGCGAGATGGAATGCCATGGCTGATCTTGATGAAGAGAA